ATACAAACTTGATGTAGGTATCAATTGTTTTACAAAAATTTAATTTCTTATTATTACAAAAATGTTCTTTTCATAGTTGTTTTACTTGGAATAGATACTCAGCTTCTGCCATGAAGAACATGATGATTGATTATAAGTATTTATGCATATAAAATAATTCACGAAGAAGTACGATTACAATCGATCTTTGATATTGAACAAAAAAGATTAATTAAATGTTTGTGTGTAATTGTTTAAAATGAAACTACCCCTTTCTATTTTATATTTAAATTTTATAAATTTTCAAACCATTCAAATTTAATTTTCTGATGATGTCTTAAAAATACGACGTTTCAAGACATACGATTCCGCTTTCTGATCTACAAATATAACCATCATGTGTTATATTATCGGTTAGGTTAGCTGGTTAAATGAAATGGTTGAATACAAAGTTTTCTTTTAGTTTCAAATTATTTGCCTATGATTATTGTTATGGAAATTTTTTAACAAGAATATCATGTTTAATTTTTTAAACACCTGCCTGGAATAAAGAAAATCTAAGCAGTCCTGTGCAGCTGACAGATGGGTCCAATCTTTTGTTTCAGATCTCATTTGCTATGAAAATACCAAATGCATGACCAAATCACTCCCAGTCTTTTACATTCTACGTAAAACCCTGTTTCTGTTCCAAACTAATATTCTTCACACCATGAACCTATGTAAACGACTATAACAACAACTAATATATGTAATATAAATATTAATAGACAATGAAAATTGTTTGTAAAGAAATATGTAAATAGTACACTAATTCGACGGAGTGTTTTATGTTTTTGTTTTAAAGATAACAATGGTACGAAGGAACGCGTAATTTCATGCAAATATATGCACATTCATAAGAAGTATAACTCAACAAATACAAGTTTTAATAACATTACAATTTTTAAAACAAACGGTTAAAGTTCTCAATTGCAAAAAAAATGCTTTTTATTTGATTAAGTGATCATTTTGGTAAAATCATTCGTACCCTTCTTAAACATACACTGAAAAAAAAAGGTTTCATTAAATACTTTTATGTAAAATAAATGTCATTGTGACCTTTCCAAATACTGAATACTCCTGAAAACACTATGTTTTACTGTGTGTATTGCCGTGTGTTTGTTTATTCTACATTGGCTAGATGTATAGGGGGAGAGTTGAGATCTCAAAAAACATGTTTAACCCCGCCACTTTTTTTGCGCCTGTCCCAAGTCAGGAGCCTCTGACCTTTGTTAGTATTGTATGTTTTTTTTTATTTTAGTTCATTTATATGTTTCGGAGTTTAATGTGACGTCCCTTTTCATTGAACTTGTACACATTTTTGTTTAGAGACCGGCTGAAGCCCGCCTCTAGGTGCGGGATTTTCTCGCTGTGTCAAAGACCCATTGGTGGCCTTCGGCTGTTTTCTGCTCTTTGGTCGGGTTGTTGTCTTTTTGACACATTCCCCATTTCCATTCTCAATTTTATTTCAAGTTTAAATTAAAACAAATTGCCACAAAAGTTAAAAAAGCCATCGGACTTTTGCATTTGGTATAATTATAACTCGGTATAATGTATATTATATGGTTATTAGAGTTGTTAAAACTTGTACGATACCGGTAGCTTGTGTAGTTTCTTCCAAACTAATTTCCAGTCCAGCTCCGTAGTCAATGTTCAATTCCATTTAATGTTACATTTCCGTCTGATATATATTTGTTCAGTTTTGTGTAATGCTTATAACGATTTTTTTTTATTTGGAACTAATTTTCCGTTCTTTACAGATATTTTATTATTGTGAAGTTGTATGTTTTTCAAATGTTTTGAATTGACAGTGGAACTTACAAATTCATTTTTCAATAAGTGTCTATTCTGAAATCCATTTATATTTATCTTTTAATTTATCAAATACTGTTTGATTACTATAAAGGATCCCGTTTCGTTATCCCAGACATCATTTACTTTTAACGATCACGCTCTTCATAGAGGGAATGACATACACAGGTGTCCGATTCCGTTTTGTATTATTGTTACCGAATATGTTATCGTCATGCAAGGATATCATTTAAAAAAAAAACATTCAGTCATTTTACTAAGAATTTCATACCAAGAAGTTACTAATTTTTTGAAACATTTTGAAATATGAATGATGCCATTGATTATAGCTGTTGTTAAATTTTGAATACAGAGACAGCACATAGAATTCCGTTTAATGGCTATGGAAACACTTTGGCAGGATATTTATACCGTAAGCTATTGTTATCTTATCACCATTGTATTATGATATGATATCTTTGATTGTACTAAACTTACTGTAATTTGTAATTTAGTTTTTTTCTCTTTATTTTGTTTATTGATGGTGGCGCTATTACTTCCCAGACTATGCAAACTGTTTTCATTTACTATAGTTATAGCATAATTGTTTTCATGCTTTATATGGTATTATGATAAATAATTTGTATTCAAACTTTTGAATGATTAATTTTCTACAAACATAAAGAGTAAGAATTAATACAACTTATTTTATATACATGATTCTTCCTCTGTATATATGATTGATATATTTTTTCAGTACAAAATATTCATGTACATAGTTCCGCTATACGCCGCACGGTAAATGCAATGTTAGACAGTTAAAAGTTTTACTTTTTCTTGTAACTAGTAAGTTGCTTTATTTTTATCGCGAGTTTTATACAAAACTCTCATGTATGGAATCAATTAAGTTTTCCTATTGTACTATCCATTTCCTGTCTTGTCTTAAATATATCTGAATATACATCAGACCCTAGCAAATGTGTATTATTTATTTTTCTTTCGATTCGAGACCAAAATAATACCAATGCAAATATAAGATTAAAGTCCGAGTCAGCCTTTTCCCCCCATTTTAAAAAAGATAAATATATCGAAAAGGAGTTCCATAATCTGTCAATATTTTTAGCTTATTTTGTTCCTTGACTTATGCTCTTCTGACTTATAGTATCAATTTTAAATTCTAGATCTTTAAAATTTCACCAAAGTACAGCCTCAACGAAAGAGATACGTATTATTGCAGAACTCAAACTGTATGACAAAAAAATATAACTTGATCGGTTATGTGTATCGCTCCTTTTTTTGGTGTAAATTGAACAATGAATAAGTGGCCACCGTTTCGAAAAATAACCTATCATAATAGATGTGTTAGAAAGTCAATACTACTGTTGGCGCTCGTGTTGGATGGCAGATGAATACAATATGGTGTGGGGGTCATCTCCAAAAGTATAAATACTCTATCGGTTTTTATTACCTGTATGGGCGTGTTTGATACCGCTGAAATACGTTATTTAAAGTATGCAAGACATTATCAATCGAACATTTTTAAAAAAACCAAAATTAATTATTTAATATGTATTTTAAAATCAATTACGTGGTATATTAAAGATAATTATAACCATACATGTATTTGTAATTATTTGATTAAAGAATGCAAAAAAAATAATAAAACAATAAAGCAAATCTTTATCTATTGTGGAAAAAGGGGGATGTTTCTTTTTTTTTACAGAATCAACAAATTCTTGCAAAAAACTAAAGGAACAAGATTTTTGTCCCGCCTTAACTCCCAGTGGAAACAAACTATTGTTTTACTCTCATTCCGGAACGATTTAAAAAAACAAACAGAATAAAACAATTTATTTTGCAAAACACAAGTCCTTCTTTTACACAAGATGAATGCTCGATGCTTTATTTTAAAATGCAAATTTGGGATTTTGTAGTCGCTTGCCTAATAACATAAGAATTGTATGATGGGGTAGCATTTGTTTAATACGAAAAAAACTAAGTTTGTCTCTCAACAAGTCCAGCACATAATTCAACTATTTGATTTAATTCTTCCCTATGATGTCTCCATAAAGTTACAACGACCATGAATGTCTTCAAATTTCGTATTGCGTGTTCAACATACACACGACACTCAGACATTCTTTTATTTACTTTTTTACATTTCCTTTTTTCCATCGGCGTTTTCCGTCTTAGCTGATATCTCTTATATGGTGTAACAGTTGGTGCACGGTTTGCATAAATTTTGTCAGCTAAAATTACATAATTTGGAGGGATTTAAGTGTCCAACTGTGACCTTGACCTTTGATGTATGGCCTTTGACATAGACCTTGAAAATCAATAAGGTTCTAGATATTCATAAGGACTAAGTATGTGCAAAGTTTGGTCAAAATCCCTGGAACGATGTTGAGTCTAGAGTGCTAACAAGGGTGTTAAAGAAATTATAAGTCCCACTGTGACCTTGAACTTTGATCTATGAACTTGAAAATGAATAGGGTTCTAGATATGCATAAGGGTTAAGTATATGCCAAGTAAAATCAAAATATGTATGTGCATGCAAAGCTGGAGAGAGTGATGACATCAAAGAAACTATCCACTAAAGACTAAGGTAACATATATAAGCAACCTTATTTTAATAAGAGTTTCTTTAAATTGCATCTTTTTCATATTCATTTTAGCAAAGATCGTCCGTGGAATTTTTGTCTATTTTATTACAGATATTCGACTTCGTGAATTCAGGTTTTTGACTACTGTAGTATTTTTTGAACCTATGGTTTTTAATTGTCCGTTGATATCTTCTTCCTTTTTTGATTTGTCATTTGAAATTTAGTTAATAATTCCAAAATTTTATCGAATCTTTGAATATAAAGCATCAATTTTGGGCATTCTAAATCATCAAATTCGTATTTATATGAGCAACAATTCTTATTGCACATGTTGAACAGAATCTGCTTACCTTTCCAGACCATCTGAGATAACTACGGTTTTTGGTGTGGTTCGTGTTACTCAGTCTTTACTTTTTATGTGTTTTTTTTTAGACAACTACATAGATTATCTTAGATGTATTTGTATTCCTTGAGGAATTGTAGGTTTTCATTACTTTATTTGGCCTATTTTACTTTTTTGATTAGAGCGTCACTGATGAGTCTTTTGTAGACGAAACGCACAAATGGCGTACCAAATTTAAATCCTGGTATATATAATGAGTTTATTTACAAATGCTAACATTGCAAAAATCTATGAACGACGATAAACAGGTACATCCATGAAGGGCCTCATTTACAATTTTGTTATGTACTTGTTAATTTTAAAACCACTTACAAAATAGCTATTGATTTCATTATTTCAAATATTTACATGCAATATAATAAATCACTATACGCAATTTAAACTTTTTTGAAGTAGTTAACCATTTAAAAATAGACCAGGAAGTCTTCCTTTTAAATTGAACCTATTTATCATTTGGAAAAGACCCAAGTTTAATGCAAACACAAAATAAAAAAAATATGTGTCTCCTGAAACAGAATTGGAGAAAGAACTTTTAGAAAAAGGTTTATAATTATTTATGTATAGCATATGATATGTCAAGGATAAATTATACAATATCGAATGTATATCTGCTATTTCTTACATCGAAACTCTGAATATAAAGGATAATGTTTAAGAAATGGGAATTTTTCGTCATTTATTTGGGAATGAGTACATTTTTTGCTAGCAGGTTTTTTTAACTTTTTATCTTGTTTTGTAAATAAGGAGGCTATTTCGTCCTCTATCGACTTCTTGTGATTAGAAAAATCAATAAATTGTCCAATTCGGAGAAAGGCTCCCAAATATTGCTTTGCGATTTCATTTGCTTCCAGTAAATCGTAATTAACAATAATAATTTCCCTGTTCAGATCACGTGTATAATTGTGCCAGGCATGTTTCCATTCTTTTTCATTCCATCGAACAGGTCCTTTATACTCTTCACTCAAAATGATGATAAAGGTTTGAGTATGGGACATCACTTGTATCATTTCTTCTTCGCGAGGTACTCCTATTTCACTATCTCTGCAGGGCCAAAACACCTTTAGCATGTTGTTCACCTCTAGAGTAGGCAGTAAATGCGTTGTTAGCCACAGACGAATCTTTTCATCTTCTTCATTGCACGCAATATATACGTCGTAAAACAATGTCAAAGGATAAGAATTTCCCCTGAAATATTTTATGAATTTCCGTCCAATTATAAATATCTCGAATCGAAAGGAAAATATACTTGCTGACAGTAAAACGACAGTAATAAACACTGCAACGATAACTGTACTTATCCATATAACATTAGTATCCGGTATTCTACATCCAAGGTCTTTCCTTGTCATATTCTGTATGGAAATTAATTGTCCTTTGAACCGGCACAACACTTGTACATTTTTGTTACATTTAGAATCACTCTTAGGAAGCCATTGTTGCAACCAAATATCTTCACATTCACATTGCATCTCTATGGTGTCTAGATAAATGTTGCAAGGGTTTAAGTCCGCAATAGATCTATGTAATGAATAAATATTGTTTCCTCTAAAATCGATTTCTGCTTCCCTTAACTGAAACAAATTTGAGCGTGGTAATATTCGGATATGGTTGTTTGAAACATTAAATAAACGAATACGCTCGAAGTAGTTTTTAATATTTCGTCCATGTTTATGTATGTGACTAAACTGGTTTGTCAGATTGTGTAGGCTGTTATTTGATAAATCAACCTCTAACACATTATAATCAGGAAGCATGAGTGGAAGCTTTGTGAGATGCAAATCCGAACAATCAATGAGAGTCCTATTTCTGACAGCTGGTTGATATATACAGCGACATCTCGGTGGACACTTTTCGGCTAACGATAAATTGCAAATCAAACCATCATATTGACGTTCTTTTATTATTGTAACAATTAGTCTATCTTTTAAGGTTCTCGGGGAATAACATTTAACGTCAAAGTAATCCCTTGTCATTACCTGTACAAGTCGTTCTGCTGCTTTGGCAAATTGAAACACTTTGCAGTCACAGTTCCATTTATTATCTCTTAAGTCAAATCCATAGAACATAAGTCTTCCAATTAGGAGAGGGTGTTCAAATCCAAGAAAACGCAACGTATTCACATCAAAAAACGAGGTAAGTGAGTTATTTGATAGATTCACCATTCCTCCGTGCCCGACTGTGGAATTCGATTTTAATACCCATGTCTGGTCATTTGTTAGGGATTTTATTGTATTATGGGAATAATCTACCAGACAAAAATATTCCTGTTTTGTTGCAATTGCATTTGTAATATCCAGAGTAGGCATCTCATTAAAAGATAAGTTAATGTAAAATAAATTTCCATTCATAGTAAAGAGAAAACCTGGATCCATTAAACTGATTTTATTCATTGATAAATCAACTATACGAAGGAACCTCATATTCACGAACGTGTAATTATTCATATACTGAATAGTGTTGCCACGAAGCATCAGGGTATCTAAGTTTTTCAAGCACGAAATTGTGTCTAAAGTCTTTATCTTGTTAAAAGACAAATCTATCATGAACAATCCTTTAAAATTACAGGTATTCCCAGGCATAAATTCAAGATGGCCATGTCGATGATTCAGCGCATAAAATTTATGTTTACCTCCATAATTCACAATTTCCGAACCATAATGGTTTCTTTTGTTTACTATTGCTAAAGGTCCCAGATTTTCAACATCTGATTTGGAATGACAAATACAGCAGGACATCTGAAACAATGTCGGTACCTTGTTACATTTCATTGGACATCTTAAATCAGTTCTATTGAATAATGATTGCATGTCTTCTTCAATATGATTATGTGGTAATGCTTGAATCATTGTGAAAACCTGCAAGATAAATGTTATCAAAATAATGTTAATCCTCATCCTTGAAGGCTTAGCTTCGCTATTTTTTAAAATGCTATCAAACTGATTAATCATCAATAACTGTTTTCACTCGATATATATTTTTATTCCGTCTTTATCTGTTTCTTTATTTCAAATAACTCTTAATATCTCACGTGACATTTGCACAATTTAAAGAGTGAAATTTAATACTTCCTTAAATACTTAGTATTGAAGTGCAACGAAACACTTCCTTAATTTATCATTTAAATGATTATAGTCAAAGTTCAAGTAGTGCATGTTTAATTGTCATACAAACATGATTGATTTGTAGGAATCACTCAAGGAATACCAATATTTTACGTCAAATATATTTTCATTCTAATAATCTGATATGTTATGAACTTCCTGGCCTCTCACAAATACATCCGATTTTGATTAAATACTATGCGGAAACGTTTCTGAAAACTGTTAGTCGTTAGATATTCTAAAAAATTTATTCAAGTCGAATGGTATATTACAGAATTTGACATGAACATATGAAACCTTGCAGAACTGATTGTAAGATATATTTTTTTTCGCTTTTTTTTGCAACAGTTTTGTAGCCTTATCTACTCGATCTTTTTCTTGCAGTAACGAATTTATTTTGATACTTCCTTTCAAATCATTTTTCTTATTTCATTTTTTAAGAGAGTAGACACCCTGGTGGTTTTATATTTCTGTGTCTTTATTCAACACATTACAATCATGTAATGTATTGTCATTATTTGTGTAGACTAGCGATATCGCAAACTGGTATAAATTCATAAAACAGCGATAAACTATAGAAGAGTAAAACACAGTCATATGTCGAACAACTGGGATATTTGATAAAAACTAGAAAACTCTAAAACAGCAGTGTTATGACCAAGCTGTTGATATTCTCTCGTTTATAATCGATTTTTAAGACGGTGCATATATGCATGTGGTTTATAAATTAATATACCTGAGTGCAGACGTATGGGACGACAAATAAATGTCTTTTGGTTGTATGGGTGTTTTCTGTTTCTTTCTCATAAAAAAAACTCATCATAGATACCAGGATTAAATTTTGTATTTACGCCAGACTCGCGTTTCGTCTACAAAAGACTCACCATTGACGCTCGAATCCAAAAAAGTTAAAAAGGCTAAATAAAGTACGAAGTTGAAGAGCATTGAGGACCAAAATTCCTAAACATTTTGCCAAATACAGCTAAGGTAATCTATTCCTGAGGTAGAAAAGCCATAGTATTTCAAAACTTCAAATGTTTTGTAAACAGTTAATTTATAAATATGACAATATCAATGATACTTCATTTCATCACAGAAGTGCTGACTACTGGGCTGGTGATACTCTCGGGAAATTAAAACTCCACCAGCAGTGGCATCGACCCAGTGGTTGTAAATAAACTCATCATAGATACCAGGATTAAATTTTATATTTACGCCAGACGCGTTTTTCGTCTACAAAAAACTCATCAGTGATGCTCGAATCCAAAAAAGTTTTAGGCCAAATAAAGTACGAAATTGAAGAGCATTGAGGACCAAAATTCCTAAAGGTTTCGTCAAATACAGCTAAGGTAATCTATTCCTGAGGTAGAAAAGCCTTAGTATTTCAAACATTCCAAAGTTTTGTAAACAGTTGATTTATAAATATGACCAGATCAATGATAATTCATGTCAGCACAGAAGTGCTAACTACTGGGCTGGTGATACTCTCGGGGAAATAAAACTCCACCAGCAGTGGCATCGACCCAGTGGTTGTAAATAAACTCATCATAAATAGCAGGATTAAATTTTGTATTTACGCCAGACGCGCGTTTCGTCTACAAAAGACTCATCAGTGACGCTCGAATCCAAAATGGTTAAAAAGGCCAAATAAAGTACGAAGTTGAAGAGCATTGAGGACCAAAATTCCTAAAAGTTTTTCCAAATACAGCTAAGGTAATATATTCCTGAGGTAGAAAAGCCTTAGTATTTCAAAAATTCAAAAGTTTTGTAAACAGTTAATTTATAAATATGACCATATCAATGATAATTCATGTCAGCACAGAAGTGCTGACTACAGGGGTGGTGATACCCTCGGGGAATTAAAACTCCATCAAGCAGTGGCATCGACCCAGTTGTTTTAAATAAACTCATCATAGATACCAGGATTAAATTTTGTATTTACGCCAGGCGCGCTTTTCGTCTACAAAAAACTCATCAGTGACGCTCGAATCCAAAAAATGTTTAGGCCAGATAAAGTACGAAATTGAAGAGCATTGAGGACCAAAATTCCTAAAAGTTTTGCCAAATACACCTAAGGTAATCTATTCCAGAGGTAGAAAAGTTTTGTAAACAGTTGATTTATAAATATGACCATATCAATCATAATTCATGTAAGCACAGAAGTGCTGACTACTGGGCTGATGATACCCTCGGGGAATTAAAACTCCACCAGCAGTGGCATCGACCCAGTTGTTGTAAATGAACTCATCATACATACCAGGATTAAACATGTTTATTGACGCCAGACGCGCGTTTCGTCTAGAAATCACTCATCAGTGACGCTCGAAACCAAAAAAGTTAAAAAGGCCAAATAAAGTACGAAGTTGAAGAGCATTGAGGACCAAAATTCCTAAAAGTTTTGCCAAATACAGCTAAAGTAATCTATTCCTGAGGTAGAAAAGCCATAGTACTTCAAAAATTTAAAAGTTTTGTAAACAGTTAATTTATAAATATGACCATATCAATCATAATTCATGTCAGCACAGAAGTGCTGACTATTGGGCTGGTGATACCCTCGGGGAATTAAAACGCCATCAAGCAGTGGCATCGACCCAGTTGTTGTAAACAAACTCATCATAGATACCAGGATTACATTTTGTATTTACGCCAGACGCGTGTTTCGTCTACAAAAGACTCATCAGTGACGCACGAGTTAAACTTTTGCCAAATACAGCTAAGGTAATCCATTCCTGAGGTAGAAAGCGTATATATTATATCTCCTGCTACTCAAGTCTTTGTATATAAGCGTTACGTATAACCCATATCTCAATATTCTTGAGTATTTGTATATACACCATTAGAATGCTGCGTTTTTTAAACTGTTGTTTATCTTTTGGTATGTTTCTTTTTTTTTTTTTTTAATTGGCGTTGTCAGTTTATGGTTGCATTTCTGAAAATATAGACAATGCAATTTCTCATAGGAACTCTCTTTATGGCTAAAACTGTAACACTTTTACTATGAAAATTCGTTTAAAAATATATACCACAATGGAAAGTTGATATGCACTACTTTTTTATTCAAAGGTCAAAAGATAGGATTTTTTTCTCAACATTTATATGCCCCGAACCTCTAAGAGTTTCGACCTATACTCAATTTCCGCACTACCCCTCACTTCACTGTAGGTCTTTAGAATTCAATTCCACCGCCTACCATGTGCATTTATGCTGGTAACATTCCCAACTTATGTCTCTATGAGATGAAACATATAGATCATATCTGGGAACCAGAACGTAAACAAAACAAAATATATATGAACATTATATATCTCCCCAAAAGAGGTGTGTTTTGTAAAAGAGCTGCAATTTACAAAGTGTTGTCTTAAATGTATTATCTGAAAATTCACTGCAGTCCGTAAAATAGAACAAAAATTTCGAATACTTTTATCCAATAATCAAAATTTGAGTGTTCTTTCCATTAAGCTTTATAATAGCATAAACGAAAAATGTATTTAAAATACTTCTTCTGTTCAAGTTTATGCATGAATATCAAAATTCCACTATATTTTCTTTATTTACAGTAAAAATGGAAAAAAACAAATTTTGAGGGGTCAATATATTAATAAATGTTCGATAGCGTCAACTAGACAACTAAAAAACAACATACAAAATTATCAAGAGGTCTACAACAATACCTGGGTTTATGCACAATATGTTTAGCTGACAATTTCGAAAAGTATTGGATAAATTCAAGAGACTATAAATGATCTGTCGTTAACATAAAATTCAAACACATGACAAAAAACACATTAGTATTGAAACAAACAATTCTACCGGGTTCTGGCTTGGCATATGCAAATCAAAATATTGCATGGTTAAATTATTTAGGACGATATTAATCATAGCAGCAATAAAATGCATGTTTTAAATTAACAAGCAAATTTTGAGGATTTTATATATTATTAAATGTTGCTCGACGTCAACTATACAGCTAAAAAACAACATAAAAAATCCTCAAGAGACCTACAGCATTACACGGATTAATGTTGTCATTCAAACGGCATTTTTAAGATTGCCATATAAGCGGGAGGTTTGGGTAGCCATTAAACAAGGTTCAACCCACCACTTTTTCTAAACATGTCCTATACCAAGTCAGGAATATGACAGTTGTTATCAAATAGTCGTTTCTATGTATGTAAGGGTTTGTTTTTGTAGCTGTTTAGTGTTTCTGTTGTTCCGTTGCTTTCCTCATATTGTTGATGTGTTTCCCTCGGTTTTAGTTTCCGACCCCGATTTGTTTTCGCTTAATCAATTGATGACTACCAAACAGCGGTAAATCACTGTTGCCTTTATTTTTGCATAATATGTATAGGTGACAGTTTCGAAAAGTACCGAATAAATTTAAGAGATTACAAATGATCTAACACACAAATGACAAAACAGCACATTATTACAGGAACAGACACTTCTACCAGATTCTGAATTTAAATAAAAACATTAATATACCTCACGGTTAAATTATTTTGGGCGATATTAACCATGATAGCAATAACAAGCATGTCGTAAATAGACAAGGCTTGAAGCGAGGGTTATGAAACAGACTTCAAAAACACTTAACTGGAAATTGAAATCATTTATGTTGTCCTTAGGAGATAAGTTTCAGTTCTACAAGTTAAGTCACAGTCGGTTTTTTTTCTTCTTTATTTTTCCATGTCCTTTAATTTGGAGATATTTTGTGTTCGATGAGATACACATGAACAAGAAAGATGTTGTAGCTTCGACATAGATGATTAGTTTTATTAATGTACATGTTTTGAGCTTGTTGATAACCACAAATGTGGTAACTAAGAGATATATGTCTATATGTATGATTGGAACATAATAATGTTCAATTACGTCTGCAAAACGTTAAAGGGGCACTAGCTAC